ACTCTGGGAGCTTTGCTTGGCGCTGGCTCGTCCCCCAGCGCACTGCAACTGGCCAGCGATGGATGAAGATGGGGTGTTCAACCCCTTGATGATTGGTATTTCAATGAAACAATAAGGAAGCCAGCTGCCTTTGATTTTGTTTCTCTGTTTTTTTTTTTTGTGTGTGTGTGTGTGTGCGTGTGTGTTACAATAGGTGGGCCCGAAGTGGGAGGTTTCCACTTTGATTTCACTTTAAAGCTACCCCCAAAACCGGACGAGTACAATAAAAGACGCATTGCTCACATGGTCTAGAAAACTTGCTGGTTCTTATCAAAGGAGAATCCCCTTTTACAAAAAAGGGGTTGGGGGAGTCAGGGTGACTGGAATTTCTTGCTGGTTTTGGGGGATGAACCGTTTGGGATCCCCGCGAAAGCAAACCACGAGGGATTGTTCATTCCAGGACTTGGAGCCGAGGTGACCCCTGGAATTGTCATTTCTACTTCCACTTTTCCAGAGAAGAATTGCGACCGGGGAAGACCGCCTCTCGGGGACCTGTGCGCGGGTTTGAGCCCAACGATCGCAGGTCAGGGTCTCATCAACAGCAGGCAGGCGTAGATAACAGAGGTGCGTAAAAAGTGCTGAAAGAGCACCGAGTACATGGTGGTAAACAAGCTTGCCTGATGAGTGGGCTGTGGATATCGGGCTTTATGATAGCTGCCATTTGCTTATGGAGTTTGTTTTAGATGTTCCCTGTTGGTTCTGAAGGGAAATGATCCTGGCTGACTGGCAAATATGTGGTGCAAAGCGGCGCCAGAAGCAAATGAAAATGGGATCCATCCCCAAGGAACAATTGAACCCATCTCGCAGACCTCAAGTGGCTCATGCTGGTCACACACACACACCAATTCTGGGCTTATTCGTTTGGAATCCAGTTGCTTCTTAGGTTGTTGCTTGCAAATTCTATCCACATCCCCAAACGCAACGCAGTCGCTTTGTTGGCACCCCAGGTGTTGATGCCTGAGGTGGTCGCTGCAAGGCATGGACGTGTGCATGCCAAAGACTTGAGGATTTCCTCATATCAGTCGACCCCCTGTTTATGGGTGTTTGTATGTTTGCATGTCTGGCTGTCGGTCTGGCTGTCGGTCTGTTTGTCTGTCCGCCTGCTTGCTTGTTTGCTTGTTTGTTTGTATGTTTGGAAAAGGAAACAGCAAGTCGAAGCACGGCAGACCTGTTGGAGGGTCCCCAATGTCAGGAAACACCCACATCTATGCAAGAGAGACATTACTTTCCACTTTGTTTACTTTCCACTTTGTTCTAAACAGAACAGGTCTGTTTGCATTTCACAAAAGAATGAATGTGCCGAGACTGGGATTTCGATTGCTTGATCTCTTACATACTTCTGGCATCCTGCAGAAACGATCGAAGTGCGGGATCCTGTAGCAACACCGCAGGTCATGGCGCTTTAAGGTTGCCAGGATGAGGCGTACCAATGGGGGGCCATGCCAGTGGCCAATTGCCTACAAAACCGTCATCCACTCTTATTGGGGGGTGCAACCCAAAACAGACGCATCAAACTGTTGGACTGTGGCCGATCAAAGACTCCGGCTAGAGAATTCCGTGATTGGGTATTGCAGTGGTCCACCTTGGACTGGTTCGACCAGCCTCCCAAACAGAGCTCGCCACGCCTGGTAGGCGTAAGGAGATTAGAACTGTCGGCTGCCCGGAACCTCCGAAGGCCCAGCTTGGTCGATGCGAGCTGCATCTCCGCTGGGGGCTAAGCGGTTTGAACCCCTGCCTGAAAAAGATATCAAAACGAAACCAAGCATTCTTAGGGTTTAGTGATGGACAAAATCCATTTCGCGCCAGTTGGAGGGATTGACACCTACATTACAGATGCTAAGAGAAACCTTTCCAATGCGAAATGGATCTCGCCAGCGTCCAATAAAGCAACTTTGAGAATTGGGTCGGCGGCCTCCTCTTGGGCCGCGCCTTCCAAGGCTGCGCTCTTGGCGTGTCAGAGGTGCAGCCAGCCTGGCCCTATGCGGGGGCGGAAACGGAATGCGCTATGCTCAAAACAACACGCCTTTTTCCAGGTTGCGGATGGCCAGGCCCCTTTGGACAACCATGTTAAAAGGGCTCCACGCAAAGAGTCCATAACAAAGACCCAGGTGAGGAATCACGGCAAAAAGGGTACGCTCGAAGAAGACACCTGTTTTCGATGCCGCTTCAAGGGAAACTAGTATTAAATCGCGAAATATAATATACATTTCTCAGGGGACCGCGGCAGGTTGTGTTTGGAGCCATTTCCCGAAACCTCACTACCCAACCTTTTTCCGTTGGTGTATCCTTTCTGAGCTGATATATTTGTTTGGTCTTAAAAGGAAGCCAACGGTTTTTTGGTTTACCCATTTTGGTGAAGCACTTGCAGTGCTTGCAGTGTGAAAGCATGGCGCAATTCAGGCATGGTTTGTCATCCCCTTACAAAGGGAATTCTGCCACGTACCAACGTGGAGCTCCAAGCTTTGAGCTCTATCACGAGGTGGTCACGTGCCCTGGAGATCTTTGAGGCAGGGGTGCATTCCGGCAGCTTTCAGATATGTTTGTGGTTTTTGTCTAAGACGATTGTTGCTGCCGGGTTTCTTGACGCTTGTCGCCTAGGGCCAAGAAGTTCAAGTTTGTTCCAGCCAGTCAATTCAGTATTTTGAATGCCTTGGCCACACACGGAGCAAGGGGTGAAAAAGGGTGAAAAAGGGCACATATCAAGAGTTCCTCCTCCAGGGCACTGCATGTTGTAGAGTGGGGCAGACAAGTTCAAGTTGCGCGTCATCCAACGCTGGAGTTGCCGGCTGAGCTAGTGATATTTGTATCGGGTGGATTCTACGGAGCTACCCCCAACCACTGCCCTCCGGGGAAAATTGTTTGTGTGTGTGTAGATATTCATATACCCTCCGGCATGAATTCATCATGTAGAACTTCTATACTGAATTTCCCGTTGGGGTCGTGGTTTTGGGGTTAGTGGACGCCCGCTCAGCATAAAAACTCATGGACCCCTTGCACGCGCACGACCTACCAAGACGGCAAATTTGGACGGCGACTCAGGCGAGACACCACTTGCCCGAGCCGGTGGCTTGCCATTGAAAAAGCGCCGACGGACAGCTCCCCCCCGATGATGTCATGGGCAACCAGCTTCAAGATGAAGCCTTGCTTGAGCTTTCGAATTTGCAGGGATGTGGGCGAAGCCTTTCATTGCACTGTGTTTGTGTGTGTGTGTGTGTTTTGTTTGAAGACTCTGTGTATAGCATATATATATATATGATATATGTATATACATTAATATGTATACATATATGAGGATCCTGCAACTCCTTGGGTCTGTAACTAAAACTGTTGGGTGTTGCGGCACTGCGGTGTCGAAAGATTTGTGGAAGGGTGAACGAAGGCATCGCGGAGGGCCTGAACTATGAAGGCACAGCCAGTGCGAATTGGACTAAGCCAGTCTGATAAAATGGGGGGGAGGGGGGTTTGTAGAGGTACCAACCGGGATCTAGCCAGTGTCGTGCTTGCAGCCCTCAAACAAAACGCCCGAAGACCAGGCTCTGGAGTATGATGAACATAATGTTTTGTGGTCTTCTCGGGATGGGGGACGCACGTGTGGAAATGACCATCCCTCATATGGCATATGTACATATATATATATATACATACATATACACACACACACATACATGCGCATATGTGGAGAGCGAGGGAGAGAGAGAGAGAGAGAGAGAGGCAGATAAAACGAAAGAGAAACAGAGCGAAAGAGAAAGAACGGAATAAGACGGAAGAGAGACAGAGCGAGATAGAGAGAGAGAGACAGAGCGGGATACTTTCAGAACTGCTGTTGCACCATCTGGGTGCTTGCTAACTGAGACCAATGAACTGTCCATCTTGATGTGATTTGTAGAATCCGTTTCAATGGTATCCCCTTCATTTTCCTGGAAAGCGGCAAGCAACGCCTCGTTTGCGGTAGCGGACAATTCAATTAGCAAGATCAGGGCCCGCGTTTGGCATCTCAGGCGGATGTTCTCTTCGCTGCGATGGCCTGCGAAGAAGTGGGCAGACTGGGCCACGCGCCGCTGTCTCAGAGCACCGTGTGTTGGGAAGATTGCTACCGTCTGTTTGTACGACGTACGAACACATTGTCCATAGAACGACAATTTATCTTACCCCCGGATTTATCGAGGGGTGTCCCCTTGTGGAATCCTTCACTTTCGAGAGAGGAACACCTGCTATTAATGCAGCGGTCGAGAGCTGCAACTGCCACGTTTTGGGGTGCCCTTTCCAGTGCGCTTGGCCAGAAAACGGGAGCCCTCTTGGCGGCAACATGTGCAAAATATGACAATCAGACGAGCCGGGGCCTTAGTTTGACATTGGATTCAGCTCGTGGCCGTCAAGCCGCTCATGTTGACAGGCCGTTCCAAAATCCCATGTTGATTTGTTTTTTTGTTTAAAAGAAAAAAACAACATTGGGTTTCCTTATATATATATATATACATACATAAAAGACAATCAGTGGGTTTATATATATATATATATATATAAAATGACTAGGGACAAAGGCCCTCTGACGCCACGTGGCCGTGTTTCGTTCAGGCGCTGCCTGCGGCTCTCGGCGTGGCGGGCGCCGGCGCGCACGGCCTTCGACGTTGTCTTGGCACCGTCCTTGTCCGGGCTTGCGCAGGCTTGCACACGGTGACTCCTTTGGAAAGGTCTCGTTGGGAGGAAACCAACAGGAGGTTGGTGTGAAATGTTCAAACAGCGACAAGTTTCAAACATAGCGGTTTTAACAAGAAGTTCTTGAAAAGGCTTGTTGTAGCAGGTGGTTGGCCTAACTTTGGGGCTGAGGCCATACGGAAGACACGCGAAGGCCAGACACGGAGACCTCACAAGGTGGTGAAACTTAGGCGACTCTTTCTCCCCCCCCCCCCCCACCCTATATTTTTCCCTGCCAGTGCTGACTGAACCAGCAGTTTTATGCTAAATGGGCCAATATGGGGAAGCCTGCCTATGACGGGTTTCGGTGTGCGACCGCGCTTGTTGCAAGTGGGCCTGGGAGTGCTATGGTACCTCCCAGAGAAGGAGCACAGCCGGTATGCATTTCGAGGCAGCAGAGATCACGGAGAGCAGGATGCTGCAAGGCGCGCATCGCGCGGAGAGCTTGGCCATTCACCTAAACCACGAAGAGGTCAGAGTGGCTCGAATGGCCAAGCGGTGTTCAGCTTCAGCCATTCAGAGGGGGATGGAGTTGTCTTCTATGCCCAACAGCTGCGCGGCCTTAGAGAATCCCTGCGTAATAGGCTTTACGGCACCAATGGCAAAGCTCAGGGGGATTGATTGGGGGCATGCAGGAGCCATGTCCACACGGTTCAATACTGAAAAAAAGAAGAAAAAAAACAAACAACTTAAGAGAAGTTGCCTTGCGCCTTCGCAGCGATGGGGCGCTAGGCCGCTTCTGGCGAAGCGCCTTCCGCCCGGCACTTCGTGAGCTGTGCCGAGGCCTTGCGTGGGCGGTCTGTGGGTATGTCTTAAAATGGGGGACCCCCAACGGTTGGCGACCGGAATCCTCAAGAAAAAGACGTATGGGTGGCTCGTGTTTGAAAGCGAAAACAAAAGGGAAATCCAAAAACATGGGGATTCTCTTTGGCTTTCTTTTAGAAGAAGCTTAAGAAAGGTACCCTTAAAAAAGACACGCCGATGCTAAGATAAGTTCGCTGGATGAAACAAGCTTGCCCGTGATCATGGACTCCTTACAGAATTCAAGCAGAACCTGGGGGAGTGTTCAGGGGAGTTTCACCAAAGTGAAGGTTCCCCCTATTGAATGCCCCTAAATCAGCTAGAGGGGAAAACATGCAAAATGGGACCCACCCTGAGGAAAGTGACGGATGGCTTCGAGCCTTCGGTCGAGACATGCATTGCGGCATGGCTATGTCCCCCCCCTCAGAGGCTTCAATTGTGAGTTGCTGTCTTTCAGAGACGAGCAAAAGAGCTTTCATGGATAGCCGTTTCACCACAACGAGCAAGAATCTAAATCAAAGGACCATCGTAATCTCTTCCCCCTATTAATAAATACGCCCCCCCCCCTATTATAAATAAATCCCCCCAAAAAAATATATATTTTTTTTAATTGGGGTTTTTGGGGTTGGTTTTTTTTTGCTTTTCCAACAGAGTCAAGAACAACCTTTTTGGGAACCCACCAAAAGAACCCAACCTTTTGAGAAGCCAGCTTTTGGGAAAGCAACCTTTTGGGGAATTGAGGAACCCACCTGTTGAAAAGTGAGGCTGGAAGCTTGCCAAAAGTGCCCCCTAATAAGGATTCCAAGACGTTAGTATTGGTTTAGTATTGGCGCAATGGAAAATCAATTGTGTGGAGTGGAAATCTGGCCCCGGGCCCCGGATTTGCATTTATTATTAATTGGGGTCATTCATTAATTGGGGGAAGAGATTAAGCCGATGCTGAGGAACACACACCGATCTGCCAGAAGTGAGGAAGACACAATTGGCTCGAATAGTCTTGATTCTTGTGAGCTACACCCTGTGTTGTTGAGAAGCTATACGAGGCAATGTTGGCTACGCCAAGGTTCCGGAATGGGAAACTTGCGGGGTCCCAACCAATACTCAAACCGATAGGCAGTCGATATCTAGCTGATGCTCATACCTGCCAATTCCAACCAACTGCCCAGTGCCACGCTGTGTCTCTGGTTTGCTATCTGCACAGCAACTCCTCAAGTTCCTCTTGATGATGACCGAACCTGCTTCAACACGCCGCTGCCTGCTGCTTGCTTTTCCAACGCGTGTCACGTGACCACATCAACGGCAGGAAAAAGGCGATACGGACCAATACTAGGGTATATAAGGTTACAAAGGTTCATAGGGGGTTGAAAAAAACAACAGGCGAATGGAGTTGCAAGGGGCCGAAAAAGCAAGACCAGGTGTGTCCAAGGTATGCAAGCCTGCGCAAACCCGACCTTTTAACCATTGGAGTTGGCCAAAGCACGGGAAGCGCCAATAACACTGAGGGGAGCAAGAGGAGCATACACATGCTGAATAGCGGGGGAGCGGGAGGGGCAAGGTCTCATTTTTTGTGGCGCCTCTAAGTGGTTCTTGTTTTTTGTTCTTGAAGGATCCGTGCACAGGTATGGGTTCGTCGCAGGCCGGGCCTGTGCGGCGGTCGACATGGCTGTGATTCTTACCCCGCACAAGTGCTGGATGGACATGAATTCCACCTAAATGATGTCCAAGAAGGCTTTGTCCCCAAAATGGTATGCCCAAGACTCAGCCTGTTTGCTGGACATTTTTTTTTCCTGAAGGAAGCCTGCAGTTGTCGCCATTGCTCGATGGAACATCCAATGTGGCCTGCGGAAGCAAAATGAGGATGTGATAGTGGTTGTATTCCTCATGCAGAAAGAGACTTTCGAAACTCATGTTCATGTTCATCAGCAGAACATTTGGGTCGTAGTTCCTCCCAGGATTTCTTTGATCGCTGTTTGACCGTTGCTCGCATGCATTTGGCAATGTTTGTGCCTGGCATCGCAAAAAGGATTCGATTCGATTGGAGCTCAATAAATTCGAGTTGGGAGCCGTGAGTTGGGAATACGTCGAATTACCCATTGCTTTGACGCCCCAATGTGTGTTTTAGGTGGTCTCCAGTTGATTCCTCAAAGTTGTTCGAGGTTGCTCTAATGAATCATGACCCCACGTAAAATTGCATTCATTGTTGGGAAATGCAGGATCTGCATGAGACAGATGATTTTTTGTAACCAGGGTCTAACCCCCCCCCCCGCCCCGTCCCCGCTAGTTTCCTCGTAGGGGCATCAAACATGAGATAAGCCCGAGCGAGCCGACCCCCAAGTTTCTTAAGCGTGCCCAACATCGGGGGCACGCATTTTCGGCCAAAATGGCAGGAAAGTCCACAATGTAGAGAAAAAGATCGGCAACCCTCCAAAGGCTTGGTTGCTTTCCGGTTACCTCTTAAAAATGCTCCAGACCTGCGCTGGTGCGCGTTGTTCCTTATTTTTTGGAGGGGTTTTCCTCTAGCATCAGTTTATTGCCCAAACAAGGTGCCTCTTATTTTCCCACCGACATCCCCTGAAACTCGTGTGTAGATGCTGTCCGGCCTGGCCAGCTTGGGCGCTGGGGCCCCCAAAATCGCGGGCTGTGTGAGTGTTGGGTTCCGTGGCTTGCTGGTTTTCCGTAGGGAATCGGTTTTGGAATGAACCTAAGGATGCAGATTCCCTTTAAGGAAGCCATGAGGGGATGGCTCAAGGGCCCTGCTGATAACCAGGAAGTTTCTCGGGTGGAGGGCTTCCTTCTAGGGGAATTTGTGCGTTCAATCCTGGGATGGTCAAGAAGAAAGTGGAATCAACTCTATAGAGCCTTTGGTTTTGCTTGTTTTTTCCGCAAAGGGGGAGAAAAGAAGCCAGAATCAACTTATAATCAACTTGAGTTGATATGATCTCCTGGCAAACCTTGGGCGGCCCCGCCCCCCAAAAGAACAAAGCACCACGGGATGATGTTGGGCTGAAGTTGCGGGACCGCGACAATCCAAAAGTTGCGGAAATCTCTTGAGTTTGCCTTCAGGAACAAAATACCCGAAGGACACCCAAGCGGCACGAATGGATCAATGTCCTTCTCCTTTCCAAGTACCAACCTTTGCGCTGGAGGTCAAAGGTGACAGCATCTTGGCCAGTTCCGATATGTTCACGCTAGCGAGCGCCACATACCCAGGCATGTCATATTGAGCTCGTGAAAGCCAAAACGCAGGCCGCGAAAGCTTGCGAATGCTTATCGCGAAAGTGCCTAAAGGTAAACCCTGCACAATGCGCAACGAAGGGGTGTGGTTTGCACAGTCCGCCGCGAAAGCATCGTGAAAGCATTTCTATGCGAAATGAAGCCACCGAAAGCAAACCATGTGCAAACAACTGACAGCATCGCTAGAGAACCCGATGTGGTACCGCTTTTTGCACGAGAGTTTTCGGCGCTCAAGTGATAAGTGCGTCTGCTTTAGGTGGAGTGATGTTAACAATGAAATTAGGAACACTGCCTGAGCTCCACTTTAAGCTTTCAGGTTCGCGGCGGGCGTCACGCCTTGGTCACACTTGGCGCAGCAAAAGGACGCGCGCGGAGTGGCTGAACCTTGTGAGGTTTTCAATGATACTCTCGGTTTGAGCGGAGAGCTCCATGAAACCAACAAAACGCGCTTTCAGGGGAACGGTCTTGAAAGGGCATAAAACACACAAAAACAACGAGTTGGAAGAGTCTCAAGTTTAGTCATGCAAGGTGTTTCTTTTTTGCATTGGGAGAGTTGGCAAATCAAGGTGGGATCATGATTTGAAAGGAGTGAATTCGCTGCCCATGGCGCAAGTGCCGCACAACACAGACAAGCACACCGCACAAAGGGTCATCGTTGGAAGGTTTGGGCAGGATTACTACTGTGGACAGACAAACTCCCGCACATCTGGGATAGACCACCTACCAGGACCCACCAATTAGTGTGAAGCGGATTCTGTCCATCCACAGTAATTACTTGGATCTCCGGCGTGCATCAGCTTTGGATGTCCGAAGCATCGTGTAAAATTTGGAGGTAAAGACACCTCAAGCTGGCAGGTGGGAGAACGAAATAACTCGCCTCGGGCGTTTTACCCCAAGCTTCCAATGCGCAACTTGTTCCGAGCACCTGGCAAACCCAAAGACTTTCCTGCTCTGCGTCTTTGCGTCGTTCGGTCACGCCTGGACGCCGCCCTATTGGCTCACGGGCCAGCTTAGGCCAGGCACGGCCACATGCGGCGCGATGTTCATTTGCAGATTCTGCTGCCCAAAAATATACCTACTGCATTTTTAGGTCCAGGGCTTACACTGGTTTTTGCTTAGCGACCGCTTCTCCCATGAAGGTTCCATCCACGGCAACCCTTTCCAGGTATTAAACATATTTTGCGCAGTTTCTGTCGGTTGGCCAAAAGATGCCCAAAGTACCATAACTATTTGTCAGAAGTGAAATGTTCCTTGAACCATCAGTTTTGTGCACCAAATGCCCGCGAAATGCTAACGAGAAACCCAATTCCGGCTGCATTTGAAAGAACGCCCACCACGTGGTGGTTTCCGCCTTTGGCACGGGGGCAAATAGGGGCCAGGCCAGAGGAGACTTGGGAGGCTGAGCGACCCTGAGCGGGAGCAATGGCATTGTAGATGGCGGAGGACTGCGCGGGGCTGAAGGTACTTCCTAAATTCCTGGCCTTGATGTCGTTTTGGTTTTGGACCATGTGAGCGGCAAAAATTGAGTTCAGCATTGACCCTTTAGGTCCTGAAAGATTGATGAGCTTTCCAGCTGCCACTTCTGTGATCCGCTGGATGATGCTGGATGGATGGATGGATGGATGGATGGATGGATGGATGGATGGATGGATGGATGGATGGATGGATGGATGGATGGATGGATGGATGGATGGATGGATGGATGGATGGATGGATGGATGGATGGATGGATGGATGGATGGATGGATGGATGGATGGATGGATGGATGGATGGATGGATGGATGGATGGATGGATGGATGGATGGATGGATGGATGGATGGATGGATGGATGGATGGATGGCGCTAGCCAGCCATCCATCCGGGCGCGCCAGCCAGCCAGCCAGCCAGCCAGCCAGCCATCCATCCATCCATCCATCCATCCATCCATCCATCCATTCATCCGGCCCCAGCCAGCCAGCCAGCCAGCCAGCCAGCCAGCCAGCCAGCCATACAGCCAGCCATGCATCCAGACCCATCCAGCCGGATGGATGGATGGCTGGATGGATGGATGGATGGATCAACACCAATGCGATCGTGTCCTCGGATTGTCACAATCTCCGAACCGTCTATTCGAAGAAGAATCAAACCATATCAAACCCATGTTGTACCTTTTGGGTCTAAACGACAGGGTCCGAGGTTTGGCCCTTGCAGCGAGGAGGGGCAGGGCAAAGAGCCTTTGCGCCGGCGGCTGCGGCAGGCCAACATCGAAACGCCATGGCAGATCTTGTCGGGCGCGGGCTTGGTTTGAGTATACCCTTTTTGGGGTTAGTTGAAAGGGAAACCAAAAGCAGAACCACAAGTTCGAGGGTACTCCTGTGTGACACACACACACACACACCCTGCTTGCTATAGATTTAAGCAAGGAGGCAGCAACAAATGGTGCGCATGTTTGGACCAATTAACGAGACACACTATGTGAACTTAAGTCTGGAAGCACTCAAGACATGGCAACATCATTTTCCGTGTGAAAGATGCCCGACCCCAGAAGAAAGAAGGCTCCTTCAGTTTCGCGTGGTTGTTGGTTTTGCTAGGACAAACTCATTTGGCATTTGGCGAGTGGTCGGCTCTCGAGTTGTAGGGCTGTTGAATGCAAGGCGACGGCACAACCTTGACTCAAGGCTTCCTTCCTTCAAGGGGATCATAGTTTGCATAAGCCCCCCCCGCTGAACCCACCCCCCTTCCAAAGCAATACCAAATTAAGAGGACGCAGAAAATTAAGGCCTTAATAAGGCCTTATTAAGGCCTCATTAAGGCCTTGTTGTGGCCTTAATTTGGCTCCAAAATTAACCAGGAATTAAGGCAAAATTAACACCAAATTAATTTTTAAAAATTCACCCTTGTGGACAGATTAAGGCCTAATTAAGTTTTTTGTTTGTGCACCAATGACTCAAGCCAATTCAAGCCAACAATGCAAATTGTAAAGCAGACTTAAGGCAAGACTGAGCTCAAACGCGCCAGCCTTTCACACGTGCTAAATGAAAACGCGATGTCCTGATTTACGGGTGCGTGCCTACGGTGTATTGGGCTGGGAATCAAGCCAAGCTACTGTAAAGCAAAATTAAGGCCAAATTAAGGCCAAATTAAGGCCAGATTAAGGCCGAATTAAGGCCAAATTAAGGCCAAACTAGCGCAAATGCCTATGGGATTTGGGTTTAAGCACAAAAGAGGCCAAAAAAAGGGGCCAAATTAGCGCAACTGCCTATGGGATTTGGGCTCAAGCCAAATTAAGGTCAAATTAAGGCCAAATTAAGTCCAGATTAGCGCACATGCCTATGGGATTTGGTTTCAAATGCTGCAAAAACAAGGCCAACATGCAGCAAACCTATAGCACGAAATAAGGCAAGAGTAAGGCAAACGTAAAGCCCAATTCAAGGGAACGCTGAAAGCGCGCCTAGGGAATTTGAAGAAACAGAAACTGAAAGCCAAACTGAAGCAACATGAAATCCAATCGGCGGGCGGGTTGGCTTCCGAGCGCCGATGGCTTCAGGAAGTTGCTTCAAAAATTAGCCCCTAATAAGCCCTAATCAGCCCTTCTGTATTCTGGGGGGGTGGTTCAGGGGGGGGGCGGTTTGGAAACTATGAGGGGAACTCCCTGTTAGTAGCCCTGAGGTAGGGTCGGATTTGTTGGGATTGGAGTGGGTTGTTTGTGTTCTCAACCTTGTTTCTCTTTGTCGCCATTTGCCATCCCAAAACGGGGCCGTCTGAAAGATGCTTTCTTTGAAAGAGTACCCCGTGTGAATATGTTAGCATTTGCATGTGGGAAGTCATCCCCGACCGGCCTTTAGGCCCATGAGTTTGAGCAGTCCTCTAGGAAAAGGCGCTCCCTTGCTTTCTCGCATGGTCGCGCTTGCTCTACGTTATCAACATTGGTAGCGGAGCCGAAGTTCACGGCCACGGACCAGTGCACCGTCTACTACCGGTGGTGGAGAGACGGAGATGGTGAAGGGGGGGGGGCGCATGTGGGCACCTCGCCCAGGTGGTGGAGAAGATGATCCAGAAAGCCGGACGGGAACAGGTGGAGAGGCGGCAGCCTTGGACCACGCCACGGAGGCGCAGGCGGACGTGGCGGTTCAGGAAGAAGAGGACCCCTGGCAATCTGGAGGTGGAACTGGAGCTGATCCTTGGGCTGGATATGGACCGGCTGGGGGCGGCAGCAACTTGGACACGGACAGCCAGGACCGGGCCACCTGGGCAGATGAGTGGTGGGACAACTGGGGATGGTACTCATCACGCGATGGGGCGCGTGGCTATGAGGCGGAGTACCAGGGGAAGCACTACTCGGATGACCAGACCTGGAAGACTGGATGGTGGACTGATGCACAGACGCGACGGTTCTCCCACTGCGAGCTGAACTCGCTAGTGGCTTCGCAGTCTGGAGTATGGCATGGAGCTGCTACGCCACCTGGAGGACATCACGCAGCTGAAGAGATGCCCTGGGACTTTGGCAACCGGAAGGACAAGCCGAGCGAGCGCCTGAACGTGCCCACCTTTGATGGAGAAGCTGAAGATGAGAAACTCGGGTTGGGCGCCAGGTCCTACTTGAGGAAGATGCAGGTTTGGCTACGCTGTACACGACTACCGCCGGAACAACGGGCACTCGCCCTTTATTCGGCACTCAGTGGTCGAGCATGGAGCTTCTCGGAGGAGCTGAATCTGGACCGCCTGGCAACGGCCGAGGGCGTGGAGTACTTCCAGGAATGGATCAGGACTCGGTTCCTGGACCTAGAGCTCACTAAGGTCGGCAGGGTGATGACGGAGTTCTTCAGGAAGTTCAAACGTCGACCGGAGCACTCCATGCGGGACTACAATATGGAATATGAGAGGATGATCCTGCGGCTCCAGGAGGTCTCCTGTGAGCTTCCCCCACTGGTGAAGGCTTGGGCCTACTTGGACAAGATGGGGATCTCGGAGAGCGACGAGACGGCGTTGCTTTCCTCGGTGGGGAACCAGTTTGACTACGGGCTACTTCAACGAGCCGCACTACTACAAGATCGGACCCTTCGACGACCCCAGGAGCCCTTCGGCGGCAAGCCGCGGACGAACAACGGATGGTTTGGGAAGAGGCGTGAACGTGGTCAGACCGCCTGGATGGCCGATGACATCGATGAGGAGGGCATGAATCAGGATGGAGCCGACGGAGAAGATGGGGCGGAGTCCGGGGAGGACATCATGCCCGAGGAGGTGGCAAGCGAGCTACACACCACCTTCGAGGCTCACCTGGCGGCAAAGGCACGGTTCAAAGCGACAGTCTCTGGTCGTGGAGTGGACCAGGATGAGGCCAAGGCCCGGGCCAAGCAGCGACTGCAGGAAGCCA